TCTCCTGTCCCCCAAGGATCATGCTGGCAGTGGCATCACACAGGGTAGGCTTTTTGCAGTCCAGCAATGATCACTCTTTTCAGCAGCATGGGTTCTTTGAACCCTGCTTGCCCTTGCCACATAATGAAGTAATCTGCCTGATGGATGTGCTGGACAGCCCATGTGTGAGGAAAGAGATGTCTCCCTTGAGGTCAGATGAGATGTACAGTCATGAGGGGAAAACCCAGAAATCACTCTCAAAGTACTTCTCCTGCAGATAATATCATGGTTCTTGTTTTGTGCTTGCTTATGCTACTTGAGTGATGCTCACCAAAATGGGTGAGCAAGTTCAGGGTATGAGAAAGTACAGGAGAAGTCCTTACTTTCTTGAGGAGTGAGTTTGGTTTGTAAAGCATCCAGCACATTGGATCATTTGAAGCTCCCAAGCAGTCTGTCCACACTTACATGACCACATTTTCATGAGCAGCTGATGGCCACAGAGTTTGATTCTTTATGGGGCTGAGCCTTGTTAATTAAATCACTTGTAAGAGGTCTCATGCACTTAGAAATCCTTTCACAGGTCATACACAACTTAAAGGCCTGCACATTTCTGGTAAGAATGCAACAAGCACTGTTTGCCAGATTTTTCTGTCCACTATTTTGCTGTCTAGTTTGCAAATATCACCGCTTTATACTTCTGTTGGAAATAAGATGAGATGAAAATAAGAAGTAAAAGAAAAACAGATCTCTTGCAACAATAGGACTCAAATGAAGATGAGAAAGACGACAAAAGGAGAAGCTCTGGTCCACCAAAACATTTGATGCAAGTGCTTACCTTTGCACAAGTCCTTAGGGCATTGGCTAATTTTTCATGATTGACACTTCACCAAGTGCTTGGCTGACTGGTGACTCTGAAAAGAGATGGAAAAAGCAGAGGAAAATGTAAATCCAATATATATGACCAAAATACAGTGCTGCTTTCTTCTTGCCAGACTAGAGGTTGGATTTGTTTCTAGTGACTGGCACATAACATACATTTTTCCTTTAGCTAGAAAAAAAAACTAGGTTTAGGGTTGGGTTGTTGTTTTTTGGTTGTTTTGGTTGTTTTTTTTCATTTCCTAGGGGGGGAAAGCACAACAACAGTGTGGGCTTGAATTACAGATGGTGAACTGAAATCATTTCTGCAGCCCCCAAAATATTTGGAATGAAACCACAAACTCCACAGGGCTCATTCATTTCTGAACGCAGCTTTCTTGAGCCAGAGGCAAACTGCCCCATTGCTTACCAAAGTGCTGTTTTTGTAATTTGTTACTAGCAAATGCTTGTAGGGAGAAAAAAAAACCCTGTGTTAGCATCAGCAAATCAGTGTCTGTTTGACCCCATTGTGGTGGTACCAGAAAGAATGAAGCCTTTTTGGGTGAAATTCTGCTCTCACTTTTGCTGGCACAAATGATTCCTCTAAAGCTGAGGGAATTGTTGGCTGACCGACTGATCCAATGGGCTTCAGGGAGAATTCAGGTCTCCTTGACCTCATCAGAGCAAGGGAACTTGTCCCACGCGCAACACTAAGACATACCAACTGGTTGTTTAACCATATTGAGAAACAGCAATATAGGCTTCCCTATCATTTTTCACCAAACTCAGATTTGATCAGAGATATAAAATAAAGAAAGACACAAACACCTATTCTGGCTAAGTTTCCAAAATGTCATTCACACAACGTTTACCTCAGGAAAAATGATCCTGCCAGTATCTTTGTACTTTATCTATGGGGCTCTGTCTCTCTGCATACTTATACTCACCTTTGCAGCTTTCAAGTGTTCTCCTCTAATTAATCAGAGCCCCCATGCTTTTATTTCCTAGGTCACAAAGGAAGAACAGTAAATTAAATAAAGATATTGGCTGAACTTGGAAGCTGGATTTCTACCCAAGAACCTAATAATAGTTCCATAATGCAAGCGAAGTCAGAATAGGTATGGTTTTATATACACAAATAGTTGAGTGTGAAGAAAGTAAATATCAGATAGCATTCAAACAGTGGTTTATCTAGATCATTCTGTGTTTGTAAATATAGAAGTGTGTTGTGGTGGCTAAATTTATCCTAGTGTAAGGAAACATTAACAAAGAGACTGGTATTTGTAACTTCTATAGGTAACATTAGGACATCCTGCATGAAGTATTTCAGAGCAGTTCATGATAACATGGTACGGATTAGATTAGCCATTTCTGGAAAAATTAGGTCAGAATTATGTAGATAAGGTGGAAAGAATTTCAGTAGCATTGTAGTATTTTCATGACTTGAAACCTGACTCACATGTTGAAGCTTTGTTTCATTGTATACCTTGTTTTGATACATAGTCAAAATACCCTTTATCCAGAGAAAATAAAAATAAACCAACTGAGCCAGAAAGAATTACACACAGCATTGAATAAAAATAAGTACAGCAAGCTAAATTTTGGAGAGAAATATTTGTCCTTTCCTGTAAAACTTTTTTCAGAAATGGCCATGCTGAACCCAGGAAAAAGGAGAGGAGGGAGATACAACTTGATAACAGCTCTGGAATGGGGCCTTTCCTTGCTCTTGATCTGAGCTGAATTTTAGCCATATGTTAGCTATATTTTGGGACCATTAGTGTATGGCTATGCTAGACAGTGGTGGCCTTCTTCTCTATATGCTTCCCTTCGTCCTTCTCAAATTTCATCCTTGACTGGAAGAACTTCTCACTTAAAAAGGAGATAGAACATGGTCATGAAAGGTTTACTTTTTAAGAGAAGTGAGATTAGTTCCAGTCAGAAGAATGAGAGCTCTGACTCTGAAGCCTTGCCTCTGCAGTCAGCACAATGTTTCCATTGGCTTCAGGTAGAATATTTTTTTGCTCAGGTCGTTTATTATAAGTAAGAATGTACTTTTACACTCCTCTGTGTTCAGTGCCATAAATCCCAGCACATACCATGCCTCTCTTTTTTCACCATGGGTTCTGGCCTGAGTTATTGATTCTCTTTCTGCTATGGAACTTGCTTTGTGAAGGAGCAAACCTCTGGGGCAAATCCTGGTCTGTGAGCCAGCCTTGAGATAAAATGCTTTATATTCCCTTTTGCTTATTCAGTGAGACAAACAGACTGTTAAATTCTGGCTTTTGGTACAGTTCATCAGTGCAAGCCAGGGTAAACTGCAGTTTATGCTCCTATGACAGAAGGTAAACAGCATGGGGTTGGGACAGGGACAAATCCCCTTCTGCCACTGCTGCACATGAACAGGAGCAGGCTGGGCAGTAAGAAGGGGTTTCAGTCACTCTCCCCAAAGACTGCAAACCGATGGCACAGGAGTATTTCACCCTCCTTGTGCTCTTTGCATTGCTGCTCAGGCTCAGTGCTGTGAAGGGGTCTTGCTTTACCTTGCACAGCTGTTGGGACCATGCCTTCTCCAAAGGGCCATCATTACACAAAGCTGCGGCATAAGCAAGCAGCAGGGTCAGTTCACAGGGAAGGAAAGGAGGATGAAAGCCAGCTTTTGAATCTAGGCATGAACACAGTAAACCCTAGAAAGAACAAGTTTATTTTTAGGATGATGTCTCAAGAATCACTTAAGCAGCTGGCCAGGAATTTGGGCTATTAAAGCCCATCTACAGCATCATTTACCCTGGCCATCTACAAAATCCAGATAGCCAGTGTTAATAACAGCACAGGAGCTGCTGTGGCACAACTCTGCTCCCAGAATCACTGCTTTCCTGTCTCTCTCTTCTGGGAGAGAAAACAGGAGCAACTGGAACTGGCTGTCAATTCACAGCCCATTCCCTAGCAGGGTACCCCACACCGCCTACTTGCCTGCTGCTTTGGCTGGGTGAGAAGCAGCACCTCGAGTACTTGCTTGTTTATTTTCCCTGCTTAAGGCAACTACTGGTAGGGGAAGAAATGGGAAAACAGGGAGCTTTAGTGAGGTCTCTTCACACCTGACAGAGGTCACTGATCCATGCGCATCCTGAGCAGTTAGCACTGGTGATACAGAGATCAAAGGGTGGCTCCAGGGGCTGCATCCTGCCCTGTAAAAGGGCAGGGGCTCACGATCCTTTCCCACTCTCTGTCGGACCCAGGGTGCCAGCATTGCCATCTCTCCATGGAATTACTGTCCCAAAATGTGGCAGAACAGTGTGAAGGAAACGTGATATAGGCTTTACTCAGCCTTATGGTGCTTTGGTGTGAAAAACGTTTCAACCAAATGAATACTGACAAGAAACTCGGAGCAGTTTCAGAAATTTTTAATGGGGAAATTTTAATGTTAGTGTTTGTGTCACACACCTTGCATTGTAGTTGCTTGTAGAAGTTTGTTTTTTTTTTTTAAAATCAAATCACTCCATTTTGCCCATGGACTTAACTCTTGTGCAGTTGTTTGTTTTTTTTTTTTTTTTTTTGATAGGATCACAGATTATTAAATGCATTTATTTTCTTTAAGCATCTTTCCAGCTATAACCACTTTAGGGCAATGTTTGGAGACTTGCAAAGTTTAACTATTGCTCCAGCTCTTTCCTGGGCTTGGGTCAGGCTCCATTATGGTTTCAATCTTTAACTTGCATGGGCTGGGCTGAGACTTTCAGGATAGCATGGCAATAAGTAACATAACACTGCCTAGTCCAATATAGCCCACAAAGCATTCAGCGTGTGCATTTTTTCCTCTAGTTCATCTATATCCAACCACTTACTGGTCATATTTTAATGGTACACTGTATCCAACAAAAGACTGTACTACGGATGAAAAAGACATCAGTCATGTGAGAATGCTGCACCAGGATAAATTCATTTGGCCAATTCAAATTTTGCCATGAAGTTTTGATAAGATGGCTTGAAGCTAGAACAAGCATTATCTGTCATATTACATTTAGCACTAAATTTCTGTGTTGCAATCTGGCTAATCTCACTTAAAAATACATGCTTCATCTAGGTCAGCTTTGTATGTGGGGCAATCTGCCTCCATGATCACATAGTCACAGCCAACGAAAAAGCGGGGCATATGAAAACCAAACCAATACAGTAATTAAAAATATTTATTTCTGGAGATATTTACCTTGATAGGCATAAAGCATTTTCCAATTTCATACAGAAATACATAAAACATGCATAGACCAATATGGCCTACTTCAATGTGTATTCAACATGGTAAATATAATGAAGAATTTGTGTGAATATAAATATAAAACACAAAAAAAATGAGCACAAAAGATTCAACCTGTCAGCAAATTCAACAATGTGAATAAATTCACTGCTATAAACATTCACCTAATATTAGCCTTTTGACATAATTCAAAACAACCCTTTGTCTCAACACAATTCTACCAAACAAGGCACTGAATGTATCTCACAACAGCCTTTGGTACATCCCCACTCCAGTGCATTTTTGGTGCAATGTAAGACACAATAACCTCTATTATTAGAACTTCAGTTAGCCAAATATTCTTGTTATGGGAAACCTAGTAGCGTCCTCTAATTTTTATTTTATTTTGAAGAGTCCTTTGGTATCTAAAACCAAAGGATTTGACTGTGCAAACAACCACAGTGCCTAACCCACATTCTGATAACTCTGGTAGTACAAGTAAACCAGACTTCTGAAAAAAGGCAAAGGGTTGCAGCTGATTAGTAAAGGCAATAACAAGGTGTAAAAATACTCTAGCAGGAGTGCAACAAACAGTACACGAGGTAGACACGTATATATGCAGTAAGTCCTGATTAAAGTAGCACTGTGGCTTTCATTTTTGCATTTTAATCAAAAAGTAGAGTTTTTTGCCTTGAAGTTTGTCCACTCATATCTTGCTTTCTGTCCTTTCTAAGCACATCTCTGAGGTTTTCCTTGACAGATACTTTTGATGTAGACTCTGAAGGCTGCACAATTAATGGGTAACATTCCAGAGGCAATATTCAGATGTTTCTTCAGAAACTTGGCTTTCCATGTATGTTACTGTAGATTTCCCTTCACCCCCTCTACCCATCCATCTGAATTCCAAGATGATGAAATCTTTTCCTTTTGTACCTCCAAATATGGGACTTCCTCAGTGTTTTGTTCTGCTGCGCAAACACTTGGACAGAGAGACCCTTCACCATTGTGGAATGTTAGAAGTCAAGAGAAAGTTTGGTGGTGCTTTGTCAGCAAGTGTAGTGGAGAAAGATTCAGGTGATCTTCCCACTAGGATGCTTTCAGGCTTTCCCAGAAGCTTTGTCTTTTGTTCGCCCTGTTATGTTTCAGCTTCCTCCCTTTCTGGAGCTCAGCCTTCAGTTTTGCGATACTGAAGGAAGCTTTGATACTATTACCAATAGCTTCCAGCCTACAAAACCAAGAAATAGACATTTATTGTTACAATAATGAAGATGCATCTCCAGTGTGCAGACATTAAGTTTTTGGTTAAATAAACTTCAGTCTAGATTTTTGCTACAGGATCCTCAGAAACTCCTGATTTCTATACCTCTGTCCAAATCATGTTAACCTTAGCCACTTGAAATATTATATTCAGAATTTAAATGCTAACATTAAAATAAATTAAAATACTCATTCAAATCTAGACACCCTCGACTTCCTTAAATAGCATGTAAGCTATGAAGAAGAGGTCTTCAGTATTACTCTTTTCAGCTGTTTTTATTTCTTTTAAGTAAACCTGATCCTGATTCCAATGAATGGGTGCATTTTTCAAGTAAGTAAGTAAGCATGCCCCATTTTCAAAAATAATTTAATATTCCTAGGCCCTACGTCTCACTCAAAATCATCAGGCTGCCTGCTGTCATAAATCCTGTTCTGCCTGTGAAAGTAGCACTGAAGAGCCTTCTTTTGCATGGGCAAACCTCTGTATGCCACACTTTTGCATGGGCATATGTCTGGACACTGGAGCTGATACAGCTGTACTAACACTCAACTTCAAAGCTGGCTTCATAGCTGCACCAAGTCCAATGCATTTGTCTCTGCATTTCACTCTGGAGTGATATTGCTGCCTGCTGCCTACTGCCACTCAACTTATGCACAGACCTCAAAGGGCAGTCCTGAAATTTACTCATAATCTCAAATATTAAATTGGGCTCCAGTGTGAATTTAGTCTTCATTTTCCCCTTCCTCAATCTTTTTGCAGTAATATCCATCACTAACCTCCTGTATTCATTTTACGTAGGTTTATCAGGCAATGTAAGGAGATAAGGTAGATAGAAATCCATCTTCTGCCTTTAAAAAGCCAGCCACACCAGCCAGAAGAAATATTATATTCAAACTCTGGGTAGATCAATAATAATTTTTTTTTTTTTTTTACTCCAGTGAAATGGAATAAAGTATCTAAGAAAAGGCATTCTGATTTAACTTCATGTTAGAATAGCTGGAATATTTTCAAGTAGTTAAGAGGGTACATGAACTCAGTAAAATAACAGGCTCTGTTTATTTCTGTCAGTATTTCATTATTTCATGCTGTTCTGAATTAGGTGTATCTTTAGGCCTACAGGTAAGTCTTCTTTCGCCCAACAAATGGAGGGTGCTAGATAGAGCTCAGAGCTCATGTCTTCACAAGCTAACACACCACTGCACAAAGAAAAGCCCTCAAGATATCCTCATTGACTCCTCTAACTCTCAAGCTGAAATCAACAGCTAAGCTCACACTGACCCAAAGGCAGGTGAACTGTGCTCTCTATTGCTATGCCGGGGAGCTACAACAGAATGGGAAGAAACTCACTGCTTCATTTTCTTGCTGTCAACAAGCCGTTGGCTCATGCATTTGGGTCCAATGCAACTGCCACCTTTGTTGCGGTGATGCAAGGTTTTCTCCGCTGTGGACTGAGCCCTGTTAAAAGGGATAAGGTGCTGCTGTTAAAAAAAACACAACAACCAAACAAGTCTGCAGTACACAAGGTGAGGCATCTCACCAACCACTTCTCAAGGCATGTAATAAGCAACCTTTCTGGGCCAAACCATAGTATGTATCATAGCAGTGTGAGCACTCAGGTAGGAGGCATGGCTTTGGGGAGATTATTCACTCAGCAAGTGCCAAAATGAGTAAGTCTGCCACAATCCACCCCTTTTACATGCACAGCCTTTTAAAAAGTAGAAACAATAAACGCACCAGAGATCTTTTCCTGTCTGGCAGAAGTTCAGACATTTCTTGTCCTTCTGGTTGGTACATTGGCATCTGCTGCTAGGATCAGCAAGCATCTCCAGCACCATGTCCTTCAGTGATCTTCTGGATCGAGAAGGGCCTCCGAGACCATATGGAACAGTCTTCCTATGATCAGAAAGACAACATGAAAGTAATTCAAATAATTCTGTGGCTTCAAAACAATGAGGTATTTTGGGCAATCTCACCAATGGGATTGATTGCATGAGTAAAGGCTGGGATATTGGGAATGCCTTGCTGGTCACAGTTTCCATGCAGATCCTGCAACATTAGCATGGCTACCGGCAAGGCTAATGGCCTTTTAATTGAGATTTCATGAGGCTGCTGTGCCTCCCTGCATGGTAGAAAGCAATAAAATCTCATCTCTTTGAACTTTGGTAACTTCAAATCGTGAAAGTAGTAATAAAAGTGAGGAACAGATCCTCTGTGCTCAGCAGCAAAACAAATTGCTGCAGCCAGTGTTTGCAGTGTTAGGCGAGGCTCTGGCTTACTACATTTTGGTGAGGAGACAGCTGAAACGGACACTACGTAACCCTATTAACATGTGGGATGCTTTAACTTGTAGGACAGAGCATCAAGAAGGGATGTGGAGCCACCCGGTGTCAAAGCGAGCCTTCTAGCCTCCCAACTTGCCGGAAAGAAAAATGGTCAGACAGATTCAGGCTGGCAAAATCATACTTGTGGTATTTTGTCTGCTTCTGATTCATAGCGAAAACTATCCCGCAGCCTTTGCTGAGCAGCACACGAAATACTCCTGCTCAGATGTTAAGAACGTAGGTGTGTTAGGGCTATTAGGAGCTATCTGTGCAATCTAAGTGGTCAAACCCTGCTCGCTTTCTCCTGGCAACAGTCTCACTTCTAAACTCGTCAGAAAAGCAGGGAAGCAATAGAAAATACGGTGCAAATAACTATCCCTTCCTCCTCGTGCTATTTCTGCAGAGGATTTTGTGGTTCTTAATTTTGACCCATGTATCCCCCTGCCCTTTTCTCCAACCAAAGGGAAACCCATCACTTGGGAACCGTCGAAGCCCCCCAATCCACTCACTCGGGGGTGTTGATCCAGATGATGTCGAGGTGGCAGAAGTACACGCACTCCTCATCCATCAGCGAGGAGCAGGAGCAGCGCCGGGCTCGGCGGTGCGCGGAGGCGGTGGCAGCGGAGGGGGATGTCGGCGCGGCGGCCGCCTCGGCTCCGGGGGCTGCGGGAGGGAGCGGCAGAGCTCAGCATTCGCGGCCACCACGCACCCCGCGCACCTCTGGCAACAGTCCCTCCCGCCGCACCCTCGGGCTCCCTCCCCGCGATGCCCGGCGGCACGGAGCCGGGGTGTCACCCTACAGACCCCCGCAGGGCTGGAGCTGAGCCCGGGAGGCGGCACCGACGACGGGTGGCTAGCGACCGGCACCTACCTGCCGGCAGCAGCCCCGGGCAGAGCACGAAGAAAAGAGAGACGATCATCTGTAAATAATCCATAGCAGACAGCGGAGAGCGGACGGGAATAGGAAAGGGAAAATTAATAAAAGAGAAAAAAGGGGCGAAAGAGTCTCGCAGCGTCTGGACGGAGGCTCGTGTCCCGTCCCCGTCGGGGCACGGAGCTAGGGCAGGCAGCGGCTCGGTGCGCCCCGACGCGTCTGGCTGGCGCAGCGGTCCCCGGCGCCCTTTTATAGCGAACCCCCATGGAGCGGGTAAACAGCCCCGGCGCTATTTTATCCCAAGACAATGTTATTCTGCTATTAGTCACCGGACGGCAACGTGCGGCCCGAGATAAGGGCGGCCTGGAAAGGAAATCGCCTGCAAACTTCAGAGCGGCGGGGGGCGGCGGCGGCGGCCGGGGGGCCTGGGAGGAGCGGAGCGGAGCGGGGTGGGACGGGACGGCCTCGGGAAGGAACGGGGGGCGCCCCCGGCTGCGCTGGCGGCGGGCCGCCAGGGGGCGCCCCGCGCATCGCACCTGAGGGCGGGCTGGCGGCCGCCTCAGTCGGCTGGCGGAGGTACGCCGGGCACCCTGGCGCTCGCCATAACAACAATAATAATTATTGTGATTATTGTCAGCGTTTGTTGTTGGTGTTGTTATAACAGTGGGGTGAGCCGGGCGGCGGCGGCCGCAGGCTCTGTGCCGCCCGCGGTGGAGGTGTCGCGGTCGCCCCTCAGGCTCGCGGCGCTCGTTGGAGCGGTTCCGGCGCCCGGAGGTGGCGCGTTTCGCTGCTCCCGCTGCCGCCATCCCGGAGGACGGACCCGACGATGTCCCCTCCGTCCCTCCCCGGCCCGAGAGACGGGCAGCGCTGAGATACGGCGGGGGTGAAGAAGACCTGGCTTTGCCTGACCCCAGCCCGCTCCCCGCTGGCCCAGCTGGTTGGACTCCGGAGTCTGAAGCGGTTTGGGTTCGGCAGCAGCTGTGAGGAGTTAGGTATAACCCCCTTTTCTAAAGTGGCAAGCGGGGATGTGTTGTCGGGAAGCAGGAAGACCCATGCACAGCATTTGGGTTTGGTCCTTCTGCTACTCTGGCAAGGTCAGGGTGAGTTTTGCTCCCATGTGTTTGCTGCCTTGTGTTGAGCTGTCAAGAGTGGAAGCTGAGCACTTGAGAAACTGCCGCAGCAATGCCAGGGCAACTACACACATGCATGAAACCTACTGAGCTCCCAGCTGAGAAAACCAGCCTTTGAATATAAACTCGAGCGAACTCAAATGCCTGTGATCCAAAGTGGAGCTGCAAAGCATGCCAATTTCACCTATGATAAATAGATAAGGCTCTCTTGGTATTTGTGGTATTTCCGTGCACTGTGCTGTAATAATGGAAATGACCTTGGCTATCACAAAGACTAAGGCTATTAACTGCAAGTCGCATTGTGATCTCTCAGGTGAATAGCTTTCTTTATTTTTTATTAAGTATCAAATTGTACTGTGCTGCTGTATCATAGCAGACATACTGTCTACAAGTGTGCTGAGTCAAAATAAAGATCCATTTAGCTGGTATCCTTTCTCCAACAATAGCTGTTAGCAGATGTTATGAGAAAGAGTGCAAGAAAGGAATGCAAGTGGAGACTAATCCTTCCCTCAGAACAATCTGACTGCTTCTAACAGGATGAAATGTAGGTGCTTTCTGAGCAATAGCAAACATTTAGACCAGTATGCTGATTAAACACCAGTGGCCCATCCTGAGATGGTCATACCTGTTATTAAAGCTGCAAAAAGTGCCCAATAAAACATCTGTCAATAGAGAAAGCTGGGTTACATGATATTGTTTTCACACCTTTCTAGCGTGGGAGTCTAATTTTTCAGAGCAGGGATTGTATCTTCTTGTGTATGCTGTCGTTTTGTGTATGTAGGGCAGCACTTACCAGCATACCAATGCATTGGTACTTGTGTGAATTATTACAGTTATGATAAGAGTCTACCAGCAGAGGTCACCTAGCTACATGTAAAAAGTAACCGTAGTCAGCTGAAGTAATAAACTTTATCAGTATCCAAAAGTTGGGAAAGAAAATAGATTTTTGTTTTTCTTCTTTAAAAAAGAAGAAACAGAAAGCATTTGTGTGGGTTGAAAGATAGCTATTATCCTGCATAGAATACAAATATGCACAGCCTTTCCAGCCCTGTCACTTGAAGACTGAATTTCATGCCAGCACTTACTTAAAAAAGACTTTTTTTTTTCTGAGATTCCTTTTTCTAAGATGTGTACTTGAAGCCAAAATGACTCACATCTGTCAAAGATGTTTTCAGCTTTGTCAAAATGACTTGTTAGAAAGTATTTTGTTAGCTGGCAAAAACAGCATACATATTTCCTTGGAGCAGCAAAGCACAAACTTACTGCAGGGACCTCTGAAGGTGCTATTATTCTTTTTTTTTTTTTTTTTTTTCTGTTTTAAAACCAAACCCCAAAATCGTCACCTTTTTTCTTGGTAAGAGTTCATATATATTATTGTTGTTAGAGATCCATATCCTCTGATTCAGCGATTTCTGATAGCTCTACTTTCACATCTTGAAAACTAACCAGGATCAAGCTATACCTGTTGCAAAACAAAATTGATGTTCAGTTGCTGGTGGCTTGGGTTGGGTCATGTCAGGCTGCAGGGATTGCCAGGCTAGGAAGAGGTAAACCCCTGACCCTTTCCTGAACGCCAGGAGGTACTGAGTGGACCTGTGCCTCACAGAAATACCCTTTGGGAGTTTTGCCGAAGAATAGTTTGCTGTTTATAGTAGGAGTCTGTAACAGTATGGGCCACAGTAGGGGTCCTTATGAAATAAGCAGAGCAGGACTAAACTTTGGCTAGCAATCAGTGTTTGCAGAATGGAAATACAAAGACATGAGTGATTATACAAAGTCAGATATTTGAGAAACTGTCTTTGCACATGCCAAGTCAGCTTGCCCCAAGAGCTGGAGGTTTGCACTATATTTGCCTTGCTGCCCATTTGGGTGAGGGTGGAAGCAGGAGCTGAAGCTCGCTGCTCCTGCTTTTCCCCTTTCAGGCCACAGCTGAGACACTGTGTTATGGGGTAAAAATTTAGGTGGCCAGCCAGGCTCTGGTTTTAATGTTCCAGTTGGAAAAGGCCATGGCACTGACTGAGTTTTCTAAAGGACATTTTGTATGGTGTCAGAAATGTGAAGTGTCTGCTTATCAGCAAAACAATAAAAGGAGACTGTAAAACTGTGTCTTTCTGTCTGGGGAACAAGGGGAGCAACATGCTGTTTTCTGCTGGTTTGAAACACAATTCTCAATTAAGTGCAAGTTGCATAACTTGTCCCTTTATTTCACTTGTCCCTCTTTACAACTTACTTTCCTCTTAGGGGCCGTCCAGCCCCCTGTGCCTCTTCTTACACAAGAGGAAGGTGGGAGTTTCCCCCTCCTCCTTTACATAACATGCAAATTAAAGACCTGACTAATTTAGGCTTCTTGGAAATTACCTTATTCTCATCAGTCACAATCTGGCCTGCAAAGCATTTAATTCCCCTTACAGACATGAGGGTCCTTGGGCAGAAGCATAATTTCTCACAAACTAACTTCCTTCATTTTTTCCCATCTCCAGTGGATGATGTTCATCAAAGGACACAACTGCCTGTCTCACATGGCATTTGTGGATCTCTTAAAGTGCTGAGAAGAGGAGAAAGGTCAGCCACTAATCCAGCAACCTCAGCCCCACTTGTCTGCAGCATGCAGCTAGATCCTCTCCCCATCCTGATACCACCAATGGTCATTTTCCTTCCAAAATTCACTCTACATACAAACCCTTATTTAAACTAGGGAGGAAGATGGCAGCTATATGACAGTTGGTGCAGAAGAGCCATCATCAGATGAGAAAAGAAAGCACTTCCAGACCACACATATAGTGGTACCAGGTGGCAGTGACTAGATGATACCATTTAAAACAGAGAAATCAAACCCAGCTCAGAGCTCCAGTAGAGAAGAAAATCAACTTTACTGAGCAAAGTTCACGGTTTCTCCCAGAGCTAGAATTGTTATTAGCAGAAACACAGGGATGATTTGCAAGGATTCAGGTTTCAGAGGTACTGTTGTGAAACCTTCCTCCCACTTGCACTTTCCACAACAAAGAACTGGAAGCATCAGGGAAATGTTTCGTTGGAAGCCAAGCCAATTTTTGAACAAGGGGAAACATCAGATAGGAAAATGGAAAAGGCTTATGTAGTCTGGGAATAAAGAATTCACACAACTTTTAGGTGAGAGTTAACAGTTTTACTGCCTGTCTCTGCCTGGAGGTCATGGAAGAAAGAGTGTCCACTTCCCACTAGAGCTAGCCACAGTGATGCTGGAGGTGCTTGGACATTCCCTGTCCCAGTAAGCTGTAGCAGCTCCTCTTGTTTCCATTTTTACTCTGTGTTTGCTCTTGTGTGGGACCAGCAATCAGAATATCAGGAGCAAGGCAAAAGGTTAAACTCTGTGGGTGTAACATAAGGCAGACAACTGGAGCCCTCTCCCCCAGGCCTGTGCGTGTGACCTGTACTGCATGGTGCCAGGATGGCATGTTCACCAGAAGGCTCAGGCAGGTGGTTATTTCTGCTGTGGTAGCTCAGGATCTTGCACATAGGGACTCTGAAGGATCTTCCACAATAGGGGCCCCAAAGGATTTCAATCCTTTGGCTTTATAAACAGTTTAGGATCTAAATCTCCTTGGCTTTATGAACAGTTTCGACTGTGGTGCTTACTTTAGATTTCATTTTTTAATTGACATGAGTTTTGCTCCTGTCAATGACAATATCATTGGAAGTTATAAGACAAAGACCTCACTTCTAGCCCAAAAAAATCTCAAATTTCTGAAGCCTAGGAAAATATTCTGGAGAAGGACCTCTATGTCTTGTTCCTGTGTTCTTGCAGGCATGTCAACCTTCAGCCATGACAGACAAAATGGTCTGCTGGATAGTCTCATCCCATGGGACTGTGACATATTCTCATAACTATGCACAGACTCTTATATTTGTTTGTGGGAGGGGAAAGTATTTCTGCATGGTTTGCAGTTCCATTCCATCAGTTAAGTTCAAAATATAAGCAGTATGAATTATGTTTTTTGGAAGTGTGAAAAGATTGTGAAAGGTTACACGTGTCAATAATCAGCTTCTTAAGAACAGGTTCCACAAGTGAAGGTTTAACCATAATAAAGATTACCATCAATAAATACAAGAGATTAGTGCAATGACTGCAACAAGGGAAAAATGAAGGAAAATACAGAACAGAAAGTGTCACTTGTAGAAAAACAGATCTGGTTCTGCATACAACCTCTTCTATGAATACAGCAGCATATGACAGA